TAATTCTGTGCTTACTGGCTAATACAGAACTGAAGACTTGCTTATTTTATTGATAAACTTCAATAAGAGAAAATAAAACTTTCTTGTAATACTACTATTGATAAATACTCTTTCTGCAGCAGTTCTCTATAAGAAAACAGTACTTCTGTAACAGATCTTGATCGGGGAACATTGCTACAACAACTTTGGATCAGAAACAACATTTCTAGAACAACTTCGGATTAGAAACAACATTGCTACAACAACTTCGGATCAGAAACAACATTTCTAGAACAACTTCGTTCCTGCCACATCAAAAAACAACTTTCATTGGACAGCTACGCCAAATAGGAATATTTTTCTGTGCTATCTAGAGATAAGAAAACAGTTCCAGGAACATCTCTAGATTGGAAACCAACACCTCTGGGACAGCTCTGGATCAGAAAGTAACATTCTTGTGTCATCAACAGTTTAAAGAACATAATTACCTGTTTGAACAGATCAACATTAAAAAATATCTTGAGCATCTGTAGGTGAGAAAACAAATCTTCCTTAAGACCTCCAGATCTGAGAGAACCATTCCCTGGACACCAATATACAGCTTTAATTTTGAAAAAAAAAAAAACAAAAAAAAAAGTATCGCTTCTTGGACGATTTTGCTAGAATTCTCTTGGCAGAGCTGGATCAACAAAAGAGAAAGAATTTGTCTACCAGAAAGTAAGCCCATTTTAAAGACAGATATTGAAATGCAGTAATATAAAGAAGTTGATGTTTCAAACCTTGATAATTTGCTATTGGTCAAAGGCATTTATGATCTATTTTTCTTGACAAGCACTGGTCAACTAAAACGAAATATTGCTGATTTTCAAGACTAAACTGACATTTCCCCCCCAAAAAAGGTACTATTCTATATATAAAGATTTTTTTTATTTTCACTTCACAGAATTGCAAATCATTCTTATTTGTATTAAACAGTTTGCAGTTCTTTTCCAAATTTTAAGCTTAGATTCAAAGAAAAGGAAACCTCTTTTTTTTTAAATTTCTATTGTTATATACATTTCTGTTTTTTAAACATTACTAATCTTTTCTTCATCAAAAAAATTCATTTCATCCAATATTTTTTGTAAAATTCCCATTTTGAAATTGTGATCCAACAAACAATGGCCTCATATCCCAATGCCATTGCTAATCAAGGGGAACAGCCAAATGGCGTTGCTATGCAACAAGTGCAACAACAACAACAAGTGGTTGTCGCAATGAGCAATGTAACACAGGTGGAACAGAATCACATCACTATCATAAAGAATGGCGAATCAGAAGATGACAATGATGGTGATGATGCCATAATCTATCTCGTTTTAGCGATCATTTTCTTTGCGATCACAATCTTTGTTGGATTTTTCTATCTGGTTTTCATTGTCTGCAAGTTTTTGGTTACATGGATGATAGTTGAAGAAAACATTTCCGTTCAAAAACCAGAGTCAGGCTCCGTCGTCCGTCCAGTCCTTGACCTAACACTACGTTTTCTCTTCTTCCTCAGTACCAAATTCGAAAATCTGACCCATCAAATACAGGATAATTTGATCATCATTTTTTTCATTCGAGTCATGATCACAGAAGTGTTTGATTTGGTTATCATTCTATACTTAAACATTGTACATCCAATCACTTTCTACTGGGTGCTTTACATGGTAATCAACATAGCTTTTTGTACAATAATGGTTATTTCTGTTATCTTAAACTTCTGTTGCAAAAACCAGCTCGACTCTACCTGTAAACGCCTTGATGCAATCAATCACTTCAACACAATGTTTCTCCAGTTCAAGATGTTTTCATTTCTATCTTCACTGATACTTATGATCAATGCACTAGTGTTAATTGATCAGAACTCACTGGTCAGTTTTTTCATTTTTGTCACTGCGTTGGATGTTTGGTTTCTATTGCTGACTTTCATAGCAATGATTATCAAGTCATTAAGGGAATCAGCGGTTGTTGCTGATGTTCCACAACAACCAGAATAAACAGAATCCAAGTTTTAACCAACCAAAACGATCAATTTCTCAAATTGATCAAGAAAAAGACAAAATCAAACCAGTAAATTGATCTAAAAATTCCATTAATCAGCCTTTTCTATTACAAAAACTTGTAGGCCTAAACTACAGTGATATTTTAAAGGAATACCATCTTGGATAATCGATGCTAGCAAATACAGATGGTTCTAAATTAATTAATTCATTAACTTATAAATATATTATTTATGCAAAGTTTCTAATGACAGATAACACATTTTACCATTTTTCAAACATTTTTAGAATATGATAATTAGTATTCTGTGATGCAAAGAGATATGAATAAGATCACAACATTTTGTATTTTAGTATATCATTAATTCCTCATGTGATAAAGAGCATTTTATTTATCTGGCAGTAAACTGATGTTCAATAATAAGCCAAACTATATCTATTGCTATTCAATGGAATTACAAACAAATGCTATTTCATTGTCCTGTAATAAGCCCATCCTCGACGTCAAGTCCAAATTGGTATGTTGACTCTTTAGCGTTATATTGCCTTGTAAATAGTCCAACCCTGACTTGCAGTCAAAATTTGTATGGTGGTCCCTGAGATTTTCAGTCTTTTAATAAAGCCATCCCTGACTTTGGTTATGTTGGCCATCCAGGTATTGATATTGACCTGTGATAAGCCCATCCCCGATTGTGAGTCAGACTTTGCTTGTTAGACCTGGGCTTATTGTCCTTTAATAAGCCCACCCCTGACTGCGAGTCATGATTTGTATGTTGGTCCTGTGGGCTTATTGCAGGATAAATTTCATCTGTATGTTTATTAATGATATCATTTTAATATACATTTTTGAGAATTTGGGTCCAATTTTGAAATCATTATTAGCTAATATAGTTACATAAGCATGCAAAAGAATAACATGTGAACATTATTTTTTAATTTACCTACAAAAAAGAGTTTACATCGAAGTGCAATAAAACCATGACACTAGCTAGGAGATATTTAAAACAACAGGCATTCACTGAGGAGGTCTGTATCTTATATAAAAAATGGATCCGATCATAAGCATATGATGTCATCTAGTTCAATAAAATTAAGTGATAAAGTACATTGTTTACACTATCTAGACATTCTACTAAAGTCTTTCTGTTGCATTCCTATATGTCTGTGGCAGTTTATCATCCTTCAGGACAAACAAAACCATGCTTATCTATGTTAAACATTACACCTCAATGATTACTTGGACAGGTATAATCCAAGTGAAAACACCTGTAAAATGATCGATCAATTAAATCAACTGATTTGTAGAACCGTCTCATTCATATTTATTTAGCCAAAATTTAATTTTGACAGAGTTTTTTTTTTTATCCAACTTTGGAAAATTTTGCAGACAAATTTTCATTTCAATCGAAATTTAACTTGTCTAATGTGTAATGAATCTAAATTTATACACTTTTCACCACTGCATTTAACTAACTTACTGCTCTCCTATGTAAATGTTTGTTCTACAATAAATCATATCAAAAACACTGAAATACATTATATCATGATATACTGCAGTATCCTTTTGAATATCAAAATACACTGCAATACCAACACTTAATATATATATAAGCTGTTACTACATTGTCATCAACTGTATCATTTAGTGACGTGATACCTTCTAAGTAGTTACATTATTACCTCCCTTACTGTTACTATTGTCGTTACCAAGTCATTAAAACAATTGTTGGAAGAGGACCGCTTGGCTTGAAAATCTTAGCAAACTACTGCGATGTTTTATCTTTTTAATCATATATATATAACGCAGCAAGAGACTGGGGAACAATCTTGGTCAATCGAGCAATTTAGATTTGTTTAAAATTTTTGTTTCCTTTTTTTTTTTAACTTTTATACCATACAATTCAGTATTTTCATTATGTACCATCCTTAAAGCTGTAGCAATGCTTTATTACCTAATTATCATTTATCTGTTTTTATCAATGCTGTGATAATTTGTGAGATATTTTGATGATTTATATGAAACTCACTATGATGATTTGGAATTACATGTGTAGATGAGGTGATGAATAACAACGTCAAAGTCTTGAATTGAAAAAGCCATTCATTTCTTAAGGAGGACAGCATAAATTTCATATATAAAAAAAATAGTGAAAGCTTAATGCTTATGCATTCAATATTTTTGTTGAGCACAAACTAATATCAATTATTATTCATTTGAAATTCAAAGAAATGTGAAAAATTACACAAGACAGTTTTTTTTTATGTGAGTGAATTTTGGACAATCCTTATGGTGAAAAAAACAGTCCTCTAGTGAAAGAAATATCCCTGATAGTAATGGCACCTTTGACCTGTTTTTAGTTTTAGTTTTTAGTTGCAGCCTCATGCACTCATCCAAACTATGTTTTTTTATTATTGTCAAAGATTTCTTTGTCACCAATCTTAGTTTTGGTACAATTATGCATAAATATAGCTTTCTGTGAATATTCAATTTGTACTCAATAAAGTTTTAAGGAATCCTTTCAAGACTTCCATGGGTTTATGTGTATCACTTTAAATATACAACTGTACATGGTCAAACCAGAAAAATGTGTTTCAAGGGAGATAACCCAAAGAAAGATAAGTTTTGAAAAAACCTATGCCTATTACTATATCAGAGTCCTGTTCCAAGCTTCATTAATGCAAATAATGATTATGTTTCAAACAATATATGCATGAGGCCAATATCACTTTACTGGTATCTACAAAATTGTTCAATGTATCTTACTACCTCAAATTTCATCACTGACATACTTGCATTCCTGTTTAAGTTCAAAGGAAAGTTCCTGAAAACAAAACAAGCTTCTGTGCATTAAACAGGGACCTCACCAGATTTTGACACAGTGTTAGGAGAAGCACTCCATACATTATGCGTGGAGTAACCTAAACTTACTTTTCCTGAAGTGTGAAGAACACAAATTGTTTGGTCAAAACATCAAATATGAAAAAAATAATACTCACAGCCAGGTCTCGATTGGGCCAACAGAAACCCTCCGTAGAAAATATCACTCTGGCATCAAATTTCTTGAACTTTTTTAGCAATTCTTCGGCCGTGTTAGTAAATACAACATCGTAACTGAAACACCAAAGTTCATAGTTTCAAGACATCATCACAAGAATGGAATAAGGACATTATCAAATTTCTTTATACTCTATTTTAACATCAATAAGCCAATGTTCAGTAATAAGCCCACCCATTTATATCATATCTAGAAATGGTGATTTATCAAATGATTAAGTTAATACAGTATATCAACATTTCAATAACAAGCAGTTATTACAGATATCCTGTAATAAGCCCATGTGACATACACAAAAACTTTAGACTAAGTATGAGTCTAAAACTTAGTGTGAGGTTATTACAGGACACTGAAATATACTGAATAATGATATAGTGTTTGTAGATATGGGAATACATTATGAGGTATGGCCTTATTTGTAGATAAAATAAGTATCACTTTCAAGTTTACATATACTGCATATACGTGTTGGAGGGCTACAAAGATGGAATGACATTAGTCCTACAACAGACAAGTATGGTGAAAGATTATTTTAATGCGAGGCAAGTAGAACAGAGATTGACTCAAGGGCTCTAAAGGACCCTAAACCATGGCAGATCCTTTTCCAAATGATATCTTAATATCAATGCAGGTTGTGTGACCTTGACCTTTCACCCAACCTATACTGACCTGTCAGTAAACATCAGGAGGAGGTCATCCCGTCCTGCGAACTCCTGGAGTCCTTCTTTCAGCATGTTGACCTTGTGACCTCCACCAATTCCAGCCTCCATATCACCACCATCCCACTGTTGGCCGAAGCCCAGGACCTTTTCAACAGAAAATATCTAGAGTCAAACTATAGCCACTTTGCCTTCATCACTTATTTTCAAAGATGTGTTTCAAACAACCTGATGCTTGTAATACTTGCAAGCAATTGGAATTGCAGAAAAAAAAAAAAAATAAAAAAAAAAAGACAACTCAACCCCCCCCCTCCCATAACCATCCTTCCCTCCATTTCAATTTAAAAATTCAACCTTTAATGTGAAGCTTCCACAATATCTGGAACTCTTTCCAGTCCAAGTCAACATGAAATCTTGCGATTACCCACATTTTTCTTTTCGAACGTACAGACAACCGGAAAGTGTTCTTTTTAATTCCTTACTTTGACATCGAATCCATATTTCTGTGCAGACTTCATGTACCTTCGGAGACCATCGTTTGCATGTGTTGCCACGGTGATAACTTGCAGGTCTGAAAATATTATAAAAGGAAGGTGTAAACATTTCATTATTCGTTAAATTTCAACAGTATCTTGATTAATCTTATGATTATTTCGTCAATAAAAAATTAATTCTGCTCAATATTTTTTTATCTTTTGTTTTAACAGCGAGAGATTTTGAGTTGTGTTTACTACCAGTAATTAAACATGTAAATCTGGTAACATACAATATGTAACTTGTTAAAATTCCAATAACATTTTTTGACATGGACCAGACCATACCACTATCCTATGTTAAAACACTATGAAACAAAATCCAGTCTAATTTCAGTCAAACTAGAAATTGAATTGTTCAAAAAAGAAAATATTAAAACATTCATTCAAACATATTGATTTTTTCATTCGTACTAAATGACTTGCTCAAGAATCTTCAAAAATTGTGTAAAACTAGTTAAAATATACTTATTTATTTCTTATACTTTTACAAAGTTCATGTGACTGTAGTGGAATTCCTCATTACTTGGCCTAATAGCAGTACCATAGAGATATATGTTGTCTTCTGTTTGATGATGAATAATGGTGACACAGGTGGAGCTTCAGTTAAACATGGTTGACCAAGGGGAACAAACAATATCATCACCTTATATGACAAGGGTAATAAATATGTTATTACACCCAAAATAAATGACACAACATTAAACTGTCTATAATATTATGTGTCACTGTTTTCTCCGTCAATCTGTCACAACTCAAAACGTGATCAAGTTACATACATCTACACTTGCTACATATTTTTTATAGAGGTCTAAAATGTTGTGGTCTTTCTGTTGTTTTTTTTTATTTTTGTAGTTTGTTTACTGTATACTAATCACAAAACAACTAGGGTCGTATGAAGGCTGGAGTTCATAAACACAGAAAAAGAGAGCAGGCAGTTATAGCAATTAAACAAAGGATATAATGCCATGATTCTACTTGTTGAAGTGGTCAAGAAGCAGATCAACTAGTGATTGTATATCACAACACTGGGAAACTGAACTTATAATAAGAAAGAAAGAAAGAGAGAAAGGGAAAGCAAAAGAAAGGAAAAAGAAAGTAAGAAAAAGAAAAGAAAGAGAATGGAACAGAAACAAAAAGAAAGAAAGAAAGGGAAAGAAAGAAAGAGAGAAAGAAAGAAAGAAAGAAAAAGAAAGGAAAAAGAAAGAAAGAAAAAGGAAAGAAAGAAAGAAAGAAAGAAAGGGAAAGAAAGAAAGAGAGAAAGAAAGGTAAAACCATTAAGTTAATAAAATTACAACCAAATCATTAACACTGATGACTTGCTATTCTGTAAATCCCATAAAATCTTAAACACTGTCACTGTATATTTTTGTACTATTAACTTTCAAACATTCCATCAACACCACATACTTGTATCCCGATACAACAAAAGCATTGATGTCCACTGAGGATTTTACAGTTGGACGTAATAGAAACAGAAGTACCGCGTGCATGACCCTATAGTCATAAATAACCCCACAGCTGATACACATGGGACACTTACTTAGGAGAAATTCTCGCCCTATCACACATAAATGACAAATACAGAATACACTTGACATAAATGCATATGTCATCGTTACGGCTGAAGTGGACTATTGGTAATCATATGAATTCTCATCTAACCCTAGCTATCTGCCCATTATAGCTAGAAGTCTTCCTGCGGTATTATATACAAAGGATGAATTATCTTATTATCACACAATAAAGTCAAGTCATACATTTTCTAGCTTTCAACTTGTTGTTATTTAAAGATTAAAAGATGTATCTGACCACTGTAATTCTAAATGAGGTCAAGGTCATTTATTTAGGCAACTTCTGGTATACCTCCATTTCAGCAAGCAACAGTCTGAACATTGTGGTAGTGAGATACAGAGATGCTTTGATCTAGAATATGGGCCCCTAGCCCTCTTTTGAAGCATCGATAGTATTTTCTCGACCGGTCTACCCATTAGTATTCTGCCCCTGAACACAGTAACATCTCTTTTCCATCAAAAGAATTTAGTCTTTGTCAGTAACCATGTGACTAGAATGGTGATATGAATATCTCTGGTCCTGGGTCTCCAATTTAACAGGAGATACAGTTGTGTTGGTCTAATAGGACATCTTGTCCACCGAATGTCCTCCATACAAGAAGTCATGTGACCTAATACTTGAAGAATCCAAATATTTGAACCTGTTCCATCAACCCTATTTCTCCGAGATACTCTCGGAGAGCAGAAACTCTTTCCTGCAGTGGAAAAACTAGAACTAGATCTATTAAAAAATGAGCCCCTATATACTGGAAATGTTGAGTACTGGAAAATTGAGTTTTTCCTGCTTTGGAAGAAAACCGAGATTTGTGAGGTTTGGGAGAATTTTCCAGCCTGACTCTGATATCTTTTGATGACCTTGAATCAACCTATCATCCAGACACGCATGTGGGTGTAATCTCAGACCTATCAGATGAGCTAGGACGACTGATATTATTTTCACAAAAGCTCTCAGACCCGACATGAAGGGAAGGGCCACAGTCTGGTACATTTTTCCTACAAGGGCTACCTTTGATTCTTTTGACTTTCTTTGTGAATTGGTATGTGTATTTGCATCTATATGAGATCAATTGATGCTGCCCAATCACCCCTGTTCAAAACTAGAATGTCTGACTTTATATTTTCCATCTTCAAATGTTGGGTTTAAACTCTAGGAAAGATCTGAAGCCCCCACTCTTCTTTGGGACAATAAGTAGGGTGTTGTAGATACCTGGTCCTGGTTTTACATCAGATGAAATATAGATCCCTTCATTAGTAGAGCTTCTAATTCCGACACTAGAGTGTGGGCTTTCTGTTTTTCTGATTGTTGTAAATCTTATAGCTTCTGACAAGGGTGAAACCTGACTGAATTCTATCGTGTACCCCTGAGAGACAAATTTCAACACAAATCTTTCCGAAGGGATGTCCTCCCGAACTTCCACAAAATGGTGAAGGCATTCCCTGTCTTGTATTTCCGGTAATAGGACTTAAGTAAAACTGGGGATGCAATTCCTAGGGATTAAAGGGATGGCCTTTCCCCCTACCTGTAATTTTACTAGAACCACTCCTGTTAGACTGGTTATTGAGAAAGTTTGTATATTCTTGTTGTAATCGTTGCCTATAACCACACTGGTTAGCCCGAGATACAGAATGGTTTCTATTTCTACCTTTATTGTTTGGTTGTTTCAACTTCTTATCGGAACCTGCAGGAGTTTCATCAAGGTCATTGGTAGGAAAAATGGGCGTTCTAAAACACTACCTGTCTGTTGGGTAGAACCAGAAGTGTGAGCCGTTTCTCAGATATCTCCAGTTAACTCAGATGGCTGATGGGTACCAAGGTAATCTGCTCTATTTTATAACCTACCCGTAGAGGAATCATTAGTATGTTCTTGCTGTGTATTCTGTATTCTGTGTAATCTGCATAGTGTCCAGGTGTAAATTCCACCTGGCCAATATGCAAGATGCCCCAATAAACAAATCTCCTATGTCAGAAAGTGTAGCTGCCAAACTACCAAAGAATTGTGCCATGGTCACATTCGAGGCCTGCTGCACTTCATCGAAAATGCCTTTGGAAAGAGCTGTCAAAAAACATATGGCAAGAAATGTAGCAATCTGTTGGTGATGGAATGATTGATCAATCGAAATAAAAATATGATCTTTCTTGAAATCTCTCGGGAGTAAGTCCTTTTTGGATCCCTTCAATCTTTTCTGATTATTTATCATAGACTGAATGAAAGTAGAACTTTGCCATATTGTTGAAAATCCTGATCAGGTCAACGATACTGGGACCCATGTCTGGCCTTGAAGGAAGCAAATTTAGGAAAAGATCTCTATGTTTAATTCCAGGAATTCTACAACATCCTTTCTGCTAGTAACACTGGCCCAGACTCCTTTTGGGTATTGGGCAAGTCAACAAAGGTTTCTGCCAACACTGATGCTGATGAGTCCTTTGACTTGGGCTCTTCACATTCAATCTTAAACATCTTTCGCACATCCTACACTGATTTGTTCTCAGAAGGGGGGGCAACCTCAGTGTCATTGACAACACGGTCATCCTCTGAGTCGCCTCCTACAGACTGACAGTCTAAATGCTTACCTTGACTACGTCAGGTAGTAATCTAGTATAATTGGGGTGTAAATTTGTAAATGATGAACTGTGCTCACACGTTTTGTGACGAATGAGAAACCCTGAAATCTAGGTCAAATCATCTTCTTCGTCTAGTTTAAGCAAGTCGGGATTCTGTGAATTAAAGCTATATGGCTCCTTAGAAGTTGCAGCTTTTTTGATAAAACTTCCTATTTCCTGTTTCCATGACATGAATTTGCTCTGAAACTTCCTATTATGTCAGACTTCACAATGCCTTTATAAGGTTAATTTTTCCCTCCCTTTATATAGGATTTCCCGCCATGTCTGACAACTTCTTTCACTCAGGAGTTGCTTTGTCAAGATCTCTGCGAGTAAGAGGTGTGTCAGTTCCTTACCAAGGCCCCTTTTATCAGAAATCAAATTACTTGACCCTTTGCAGGAGTCTGATTTCCTTGAGGATTAAGACATTGGTGCCTATGGAAACGTGGTACAACACACAGCCATCAAAATCTCAAAAAAAAAAAATTACAAAAAGACAGTGACCTCAAAGAACGTAGATCCAAAATCAGAATATACTTTTTTAGGTCCAAAATCAACCAAAAATAAACAGCGAAAAGTGGATACAGACCAACCTGTAATGGGTCACATGGATTGCACATGTGCGAAGGGGACCAGTCTTTGTTGGACCCCAGGGAGCATTAATTTTTTTGTTTAACAGTGGGTAATAATAACAATAAGTGGTTTAAGCTTAATATAGTTTGTTCACCTAACAGGCAAGTATGATATGAAGGAGATAACAACAGCCTTGCTCAACCAGACTTCTGTTGTCTGTGCATCTGCACACATCATTATCAAGTGTCTGACTGAACGTGGGGGACGGAGACAATTTTCTTGCATAAAATCTTATACCCATGATTAATCATAAGTTTGTTATGAAGACAGATATTTACCATTGCAAGCAATTGATGCTTAAGACAGCTGCAGTTAGCAACATGAAGAGATAAATTCATACAAAATTCTGGTAAAAAATATTTTGAAATTCTGAATATATGTAGTCTATGGAAGTCTGTATTATATATCATATGAGACTAAGATATATTGAACCATGCATCAATATGCAGTTTATAAAACTGTTGCGACCCGTGTTCTTGTAAGAAAATGGCTGCCCATGAAATGTTATTAGCAGGACATCAACGAATCAGAACCGCCATTCCAGTGTGTGTACAATATTCACAGAACATTTTTAATATCTGTCTCCAGTTTTGGTTTTTTTTTCTTTATCTCCAGTTTTGGGACTTTTTTTTACAAGATTCTTAACAATTATTTTCAAAATGTGATTAGAGCCAGGCATAGTAGAACAAAGACAATATGCTACTTTTGATCGGTTTCAGGAAGAGATGCCGAGTGACTGGACTCAGACAAGGACATATGTATGTTTGTACATCCTGACATATTAAAATCATTCTCAGTTGCAGCTTCAAGAATTTTGTATTAGAGATATAACAAGTATGTAATGATAAAGTGTTGTATATATAGTTTATTTATTTGTGTATATGTTTTATAAACTCTAATACGACATTATGCACATGACCTTTGTTTTGGCCTTTTCTCCATGTTATAGCTGGTCATGACCCGATATTTCAGTCCCAGTGGTTGGCAACAATACTATTTAATGGACATTTCCTGGATATGAATGCTTTTTAACAGCACATGGACATACAAATCATGGATTTAGAGGACCCCGCCAAAATAAACCCCCACGAAAATAAATCTACCACGAAAAATAATTTTTTACAGTAGTTAAATAATTCCCAGAAGTTAATTTTTCAGGTGATTGATCATTTTCCAGAAATTAATTACTTGTAGATCTAAATATATATGAATATTTTTTGATATACTTATATGTATGTACCAGTATATTACATTCATCACTAGTAAATCATTATGTACTTAAATACAGAAGGGGTCCAGGACATATTTAGTGCACATATAATTTAATGACCATGACATATACATAGGACACAGAACCTCTGGTCAGTCTAGAAAGTAGTGCCTATGTCCAGAGGGTCAAACCTACAGAATGGCCAGAGGGATACAAGGTTTTTGGGTCAGGAAGGACCGTGTTAGACCAGGAAGGAACATAAAAGCTAGATTTGTCATTTACTAACATATATACATTTATAGATCTACTTCAGTGTATATCTTCCTGGCACCTATCTCTGACACCTGCCATGTGACTTCAGATTTTTTCGTCTTTTATTTTGTCATTTCTATATTGTCACAGCTGCAACTGCTTATAAAGGCTTTTTATATTAAAAAAAAGTGTCATTGAAATTATGAAAAAAAAAACATTCAAAATTTGTTCCTATAGATTTTGAAAAAAAAAATACAGTAACTGGTAGTTGTGTTTGAGACAATTTTTTTCTTGTCTTGGTGAGATTTTCATGATATTTTAATCATGTGTTTCGTAAAATGTATAAAACTGACCATTTAGAAAGGCTTGTAACATTGTAAAATGATCCACATGTATGATATAACAATCATTACAGAAGAAAAAGGTCAAGAAAAAAAGAAAACCCAATGCAAATACTTATAACAATGAAAATATTGTATTGTGTTTGGAAACTATGAAATACACCAAAATGAATCTAACTTAAATTCCATTATAATTTTTCATTTACATTCAATCACCAGTCTTTGATACCAACAATTTTTCTTTTAAATCTACTTAAAACCAATCACAAATATTTCTTTATTAACAAATTCTTTAATTAAAAATTCATAATTGCTTTCTGATGCTGATTCTAGTGTTGCTACTAGTACAATATTTATTTTTGTTTGTTTTTCTAGGGTTTTCGTTTGTTAATTTATAAACAAATATCAATTTTATTTCTGAATACATGTTAAGTTCAAAATTAAGGCAAAGAAAATTACACGTACCTTGTGATTATAAGGTACAACAATGTGTCAGAAATATATTATACACACAGAGGGATACACATGCATTTTATATGGATACTAGTTTTCTCTGGATATATGTAAATAATGTATGTAAAATGACAAATATGATTTATGACCAAGTCTCTTATTGATAAAACAAGATTCTTCATTTACTCATGTCACATGCCTACATGTGTATCAAGAGATCAAACAAACAAAAACAAAACATGATATACAGAAAACAATGCTAAGTACTCAGCAATTTTTGTAATGTCTTTCCAGACGAGCCCAGAGTGCCATTTCCAGAATTTTGACAAGCCCCAATGCTAAGCAATAGAGTGGTTCCTCAGAATTCGAGCTCGTCCCAAAGGAAAGTCTAGAGTCTAGGACCAGAAATTTTTACAGATATTTTTTCAGTCAAGTTCAAGGCACTTTTTCAAAAATTTTAATGAGTCCAGTTACAAAGAGAAAGAGTAGAATCTTTAGATTTGAAGGAGTCTCACAGGAAAAGCATGAGTCAAGGACTCAAATATTTGAGTCCTGAAAATCACTGCAAGACTCAAATATCTGAGTTTCAAAAATTTGATGAAGTACTGACATTAATAAAGTCAAGTACAGATGAAAAGTTTGCCAAGAAAAGGATTACCTTATAACTTACTAATAACTATTTTCACAATGGAATTACCTTATAAAATATTGATAACCATATCCTCACCTTTTAAATTTCTTTGACGTGTCGTCTCAGACCTGTATACCGTATCATGATAATTAGTAAGTTTTAATAATTACTATCTTTGATCCTAAATAATGATAATATTCCCTTGTTATTAAATGACATATACTTATCATTAATCAAAACCATTTACTACTTAACATTTTTAATATCATTACCGTCATAAGTTGTGTGAATAGAATTACAATATATGTTAAAGATCGAGGAGTTAGGGTCACATGTTGACCTGTGTCAAAGTGCTCTCAGAAAGAATATAAATTATCACTTTTGACAGCTTTTAGTGGAAAATAAGGTTTATTGGACACCAAAAGTAATCAGAATTTAAGGAATTTTGCAAAAACCTGTTTGAAATGGACTTTTGAATATATATCACAGTGAGTGACCGATGAAGTAGAAATTTATTATTTGTATACCTTGTAAACCAAATGAATATGATCTACATCTAGACATGCTGCGTAATTATAATGTCCTTTATATTCCGTTGAAAATGATCTGTCAAAGTTTCAAATCGTCTCTGAATATTACATGAAGAAAATATGTCAATGTAGAGGTTAGATTGATACTTCTTTTTCATGATTTCAAAATTTGTTCAGTATTTGGTTGAGAGGAGGGGAATTTTCCCTATTTTGGAGAAAATTCCTCAAGTTCACAGGAAAATTTCTTGATGGGGAATCTGTCGGTATTGAGTGTGGAAAACATACCACTTTTTCCATTCGTAGAATTTGTTTAGATAAATCCCCGTTATATCAGATTTTTTTCACAAGTTACTGACTTTTTAGTCCACATGCAGGTTGCACCAGTATTTAATTAACATGCCCAGGGACGTCCCTGACATGCCTTACCCACAAGAAAAAAGTCCACAAAATATGGTATATTACATCACTTGCTATGTCTTTAGTTAGTAATTGGCATATTTCATTTTGATATTGAAACTCTAATGTTTGTTTTATTTAGCTAGACTGGTAAGGCAGTAAATGTACTTGTGTTGATTCCAATACATTGTTCTGAAACTTTGACTTTAACTCTCATGGCTGATTCATTGTAGGTGTGTCAAATCGAACTATAAATTTTTGCTATAAAATCCCAGTTATTGCGAATAAATAAGTATTATATATAGTGTGAATAAAAAAGCAGTGTTATTGATGCCTTACACTTCTCTAACAGATGGGAATAGCAACATACAACAACCAGATAACACCTCGTATGTCTGTCACACATTTCATGTTTGTCTGTCATGCATTCCATATGTTACAATTAAAATGTACAAACTGCATTATTTGTACAAACTGAATTATTATTTGTACAAACTGAATTATTTGTACAAACTGAATAATTAAATAAGAAAGCGCGAGGAGAGAATTATCACAAACCTCTGTGGTACAAGCTAAAAAATCTCAACACTCAGGTTAAGATTTTTTGAAGTCATGCACTTAGCAAAGCCTCAAGCTCATATAAGACAACTTCATAAATCTTACCTTCTGGTTGAGTTTGGGATACATTGATAATGTTTCTTAGTCAATATCTACATCACAATCTCAGTATTTTTTTTAATAAAAACGAGATTTATCCGTTCGACAGACAAGCGTTCTTTTTAATATAAAAGAATGCATCAGAAACAGCTAAACTGCTGACATCTTGTTTTGCTAAATTTAGGTTAATATTGTCAGCGTTTAATCAATATTGTGGAAAATGTCTTGTGGCTGAGTTTTATCAATATGCGACAAACTTACACTAAAACAAGATTTAAATATAGATACAGATGCTGTTCAGCAGTAACGTTAGTGAAAGATAGGCTGGGTTGAGCATTCAGTCATTCGTTCTTCCTGTCATGGAATGTTCGATTAATTTCAAATTTCGGTTGTAATCATTTCTTTCTGATATGAGGTATAAAATATATTTGCTCGCAATGTTCCAAATCAACTTACCTGTGCAAGAAACCACTGACGTTCCAAACCAAAACAATACCACGCAAAACATGGACATTCTGAAGATGGTGTGTTGATTCCCACGGCTCATGGTGGAATTAGAGGCTTCAAATAATCTTTTATGTAAATTTTATCCACAATCCAACTTAAAATGTCCGGTGAATACTTTCTCAGCTATGGCAGCAGTTTGCACGAGCGGTGCCACATCACACGTTCAGTGCCTAGCAGAAATCTGATACTTCTAGCTTGACCTCTGACCTCCACATGTTGATTTCGTAGTTGCACTACGCCTGCGCAATAGATATTTCCTCTGGGTAAAAATAACGCTAATCATTTCCGCACTCCGATACTACTAGGTGATATCCTTCCCAGTAATGATAACGACTAATTGGCAGGGGTTTCGCAGTAATACGTGATCTTTCCAACGTGCACAATAAACTCGCTCGATTTATCTCCCCTCATGGAAGAAAGGAGAAAAAAGAAACCAGTGTTTTAGGAAACGTTCATGGGAGAGCTGATAAAATTCACTTAATTATTGATGGCTCATTAAGAATAAAACCGAGCGCAATTTGATCAAGGAAATGCACATAATTATAATTTAGTGTTACATATTGATTTATGCTCTATCGTTAATGACACTTTCCCTGTGTTTTGAGAATATGAATGCGGTGTTTGAGATAACGGCTAATTAACAGAATTTCTCTCGACTGCGCAGACTGTGCATGAACGTCTGTATAACTCATCTTTGGGTAACAATAGGGTACCCAATTGTCGGAAGCTACAATTATAAACCGCATCCTAAAATATGTCAAGAAATCAACCGAATTATTGATAGACATATTATATACATAAAATCATGTATCTAACTCTCTAGTACATAGGTGAACACGGGAAGTAATCACGTGACTTGTAATGATCACGCTTTCACCAGAAGCGGCTCGCCTCGGAGGTAAGTTGACCTTAGTTTAATATGATAGATTGTGAATTTGAAAATAAGACATAGCCCAAGGAAGATGTACATATTCCTTTAGTTTTTTTCGCCAAAGGACAGCATTCAAACACGTGTAGTTTCTGCAAACACTTCGACAAAGTGTCGAGCGAGTTATAATTTTGTGTTGATCACACCTACACTTTTATCGAAAGTGGTATTCGGTCGCCATTTAAAACGTTAAAGACGTTTTCAAGATCACCATTAAAGTCACCAATGACCAAACAAATTAAATTGACAGGAAAAAAGTGTATACCGTTGAAATTGCCACAGTGTATTCAATCAGTACTCAAGTCGCCAATTTCGAAGAGAATCCGAATCGAGCTTTTTGCCTCGGAAACTGAGACGACAGAAATTATGCCACTTTCTGAATCCGAAATAACAATTATACCTGAAGGAAAGATTCTGGGATATGATGATTTTGAAAGTGAAATGAATGAAATAGCATTGTTATATCCACACGTAAAAAGAGAGCTTGAGAATAATGGAACAGAATCCGTGTTTTTGGGTTTTTTAGAGGAATCAAAAATAAAACCATCCCGCTAAACAACATAACATATCTTCTCTAGGTTGAAGTTGTAAGGTGGTACAGTAAAGAAAACTCTGTTAAGATGCGCTACATGAATGATACCAAAAACTTTTGGAAACTCGGGTGGAGATTATTTGGTGGGAAGTTTTTACGGTTTATGTCAGGGCACAAGAACATGATTATTACTTGGTGATGAATACATTAATTCATTCTTTCTTTCTTTCACGGTTCGAAAATGAATTAACGCATCGCCAGATTTTTTTTATATTTATTGGGTCGTTATTTGAAATGTAATCAATGTTTCTTATACACCACTGTATTAATGTTTGAAGGTGATTTAAAAACAAAGAAGATCACTAAAACGGCAGATTCATGTAGATACGCTGTGTATCAAAATAACAATTGTAATTCAATACTCTAACCGATTTGCAGACATTTCCCTCCATTACTATGGAGTCTCGGATGCTGCCAAGCCACACATAGGTTTCTGGGAAACTTAATATTGTACCTGTAGAAAATCCCGGTTCAAATTGGCTGCTCGCAGGGCGATGAACGATATAGACAAGCCGTGAAACAAACAAACATTTTTTTTTTGTACATATAACGGTTGCTATATACTGTATGCCACGTCCGGTTTGTAAATAAATCGAACAGTGGCACGCGGAAGCATGATTTTTTTTATGTTTTGTTTTGTCGTTGTCTTTTCCTTGGTGAAGCACAGGGACAATTTTTTGTATGTCTAATACTTTATTAGGCTATAGATCAAATATGTTTGTATCCACAGCCTTCCATTAACACACACATATATATAGTCCGATTTTGTAAATATATATAATTGATGATCCGGACTATTTTCAGACCATATAGATTAACATTGCCACGTATACAGTATGCGGACATTGCAATCTGACCCTTAATCCATTTCCTATTCGTTAGGAGGTAAATAAATGTTTTCACTACTCGATATGGTAACACGTTAGTAGCACCGTCAGCTATACCAGGCATTGGTAACTTGTCATCAAAGAGTTTAATGTCTACGCAAGCAGTCGGGGGTCATTTGAGGATGGAGTCCTGGGGATATTGAGTCGTCACAGTCACTGAAATATCAACCTTTATAGCTATATACGGTAGTAAGACATCCCTATTCTCGACCGTCATCGGTTACTGTGTTCCATGAGAGTGAAACAAAGGGAAGTAATTATGGGCGATCAGAATGGGCATCGCTGCCGACCACGCAATGTACTGACAACGGCTAAATCAGTGTGTGGTCCCCTGGCCTACCGAGATAAAACCTCATAATGATTTATGTATATTACGGCTTGGATACAAAGTAAAGTTCGGATAGTGTCCTGAGAGACATTAAAACTTGGAGTCTGTATAAAAAAAGCAAAAACAAACAAACAAACAAATAACAATCTAGAGAATGCAAAGCGTGGCATTACCCCACACGCCCGCCTTTTAAAAGAAAGACACACAATCATATTTATGTATATGATAATATTACAACAAGTCACAATTTCTATTCGTTATTTTCAATTGTTTCATTCAAAGTATTAAAACGGAGAACTTCTACTAGGAAAATGTTAAGTACCGTAATTACCTTGCACGGTTTAAGAGAACTAGTCTGAAAAAAAACCTGAATTTTGTGCTTTGGCCTATCTATTTCCATGGTAACAGAAAAAGTATTTAATTGAAAAACTTCCCCAAAGCAAATAATGAGCATTATCTTGAACGGTTTCAGAGCACTGGTCAAGATGAACTGAAATTTGTGATGAGGGCTATCTGTTTCCATGGTAACAGAAAAAACCTAACCACAGTACTAACCTTATAATTACAGAACGTTTTGTGGAGTTGGGTGGAATGGTTTGGAAGTTGTAGCCTGGAAAGGAAAGTAAACACTAATTTAGTGGGGTTTTTTTTGTTATGTCTGCATGGTAGCAGAAAAAAATTGAAATATCGTCAATATTAAAAGGCACAAGGACACTAACTTGATGTATATATAGCAAGTTTTGTGAAGTTGACTTAAACGATTTTGAAGTTATAGCCCGGAAAATCCCTCGACCGGACGGACGCAGGCACGTACGCACGGACAGAGTGAAAAATAAAATCCCCCGCAAACGTTTTAAGCGGGGATAAAACTAATATTTAAACTACATGCTGTCTGTTTGATACTAAGTATAAATTGTATGTATATATTTTTATACTGACCATCTTCTTTTTCTGCGTGTCTTTCATGTGACTAGATGTCTTGAAAATTCCAAATGTGTCTCATCTCACTCTGGCCGTTTAATTTCTGTTTCATGTAAATTTCTGCAAGAAATGACCAGGGAAGCCATCTTCAGTGATACTGCAGGACAGGGTTTTACGTATGGTTAGGTAAACAGCGGAAGAATGGAGCATTCTACGGGCAGAATTTTATAATGAAGTCGTAATTTACTCATGGAAAATGTCCTCAAAATGTTTGTTCTCGACCATTGCTATTCATATCACTGTGCGGTCACTGTGGGAAATTGGTCAATTAAGGTGTTCTTAAACAGCATGGAACAAAAAGGTCGTTTTCGATGAGAATGTTTTGAAAAATTAAGCCTTGCATACCACAAAAAACAAAAATATCATGAATTGTGGAACGGGTGAGTGTCTCCAGTTCTCGAAGAATCTTCACGCTGCTTGACTTTTTATGAAAAATATAAAATTCAGAAATATGTACGAGTATATAATATACATATACACAACTAGAAAATGTCAACACGTGAACAAAGTTAAAATCCAAACACAAATTCGAGATAATTACGGCAAAATACAAACAAAAGAAAGATTTACACGAAGACCCCTGAACAAGTACAAGGAGAATAGGACATAGCCAACGATACAAATCCCCTCGCTCCCATTTGTAGATACATCCTGTATATTGGACAGGGTAAACACCATAAACAGATGAATGAGTTATACCTGTAACGTGCGAAGATGATTTCTAATAAAGAAAGATATACAGCTATAAATAGTAATGATGACCTTGACATTGATAAATGCAAACGGGAGTACCACACAGTTGAAGGTGATATTGGTACTTGAGTAATAAATAAAGTTTGGTCAAAATCTGTTGCTAGAGCGATGACAAAAATTTTCTATAAATAGTAACGGTGACTTGAACGTTGACATCGGGACGCTGAAATACTTACAAGTGTCGAGTTCAGGAGGTTTTAGTTCAGAATTAGATAAAATTAATAGATTAAATTAACTCTTGTTTTGGTCCACGTGCTTTGTATTTTTTCAAACTCCCAACTAAATACAATTTCTGTTTCTAAAAAAAAAAGAAAAAGAATTCCTTAGACAACTTATCGCTACGAGGTTGACAGAGTTATCGCCCTTCCCCATAGTTCCCAGACCGTAAGTACTATAAAACTTATACACATCATACCAGTTCAAGGTATTATAATACTTAACTAATATTTAAAGCTTATGAGCCTGACTGTCAGTTGTCGGCATCTTGCACGAAAAGCGTGATACTATGAAAAAGTTCCTTGAATATTGGATCAACTGGGACATGTAAAATGAATAGGTTAACGATATATTAGTATTTAGAAATGGAAATGAGAAATTGAAATCATCACGCATATTCTACAGCTTGACGGAACTCTGTCCTATTGGTTTCGTTGACGGAAAATATCGAAGTAAGAAGCT